CCTGAGAGAAGAGCTTTCCAAGCAAAAGGATAAACAAGGGCAAGGGCTTTGGGACAGGAGTCTGCCTGGAACATCTGGGGAACAAGGAGGACAACATGGCTGGGCAGAAGTGAGAAATGAAGGGAGCAGTAGGGGATGAGGTCAGAGAGGTTGTTGGATGGGGGTCAGTCTGTACCGGGTATTTGTAGGTCATCTAAGGACATTGAGTGAGTTGGGAAGCAAACAGAAGATTTTTATTAGAGTTGACATGATTTGTCTTACATTTAACAATGTCGGCTGGGCGCGGTGGCTCATGCCTGTAATCCCAGCACTTTGGGAGGCTGAGGTGGGCAGATCACCCAAGGTCGGGAGTTAGAGACCAGCCTGACCAACATGGAGAAACCCCGTCTCTACTAAAAATAAAAATTAGCCGGACATGGTGGCACATGCCTGCAATCCCAGTTTCTCAGGAGACTGAGACAGGAAAATCACTTGAACCTGTAAGGTGGAGGTTGTGGTGAGTCGAAATTGCACCACTGCACTCTAGCCTGGGCAACAAGAGCGAAACTCCATCCAAAAAAAAAGGAAAAATTGTCACTTGGCTGCTGTGTTCAGAATAGACCATGGAGGAGCACGGATGAAAGCAGAGAGACCACTTCAGAGGTGATTGCCACAGTGTAGGCAAGCAGTGCTGGTGAGAGAGAAATCAGTGCAATTCCAATCCAAATTCCAACAAGATTTACTGAGGAGCTTGAAAAGCTTATTCTAATATCCAAAAGAACTATCAGAAATATCTGAAAATCCAAGAATAGTAAAAACATTCTTGAAAGAAAATGAAATAAAACCTCATATGCTGGAATGTCTTCCTAATTCCTTGTTGAGAACTTTTCTCCTTAATTTTTCATTCTGGTTTCTTCATCACAAGTTTTTTCCTCCTTCCTATATCATTTCTATCTGTTCACAAAGATGATGTAGAATCTCCTATCTTATAAGAAGAAGCAAATGAAAGGAAGCAAGGAAGAGGAGGAGAGGAATGGAAACAGGGAGGGAAGAAGGAAAGGCATTTCTTGGTGGTATGAATTTGGACAAGTTAAATAACCTGAACTCTCTCTGCCTCAGTTTCCTCATCCTTAAACCGGGAATGATAATAATTGTACTTATTTCATGTTTTTTTTTGTGATTAGTATATACTTACTGCCTACTATATATTAGAGATAAGGTGGTAGAAATTAAAGACATGGTCACTGGCCTCATAGAACAACCCTGAAATCATCCTTGACTGCTTTAGTTCTTTCACATCCCAAATTCAATCTATCAGCAAATCTTCCTGGGTTGACTTTCACAATAGATCCAGAATCTTACCACTGTAGTTCTCATTTTCTGCACTGTTACTCCCTGGCTTCCACTGTCATCACTGGGTTCATGTCACCATTATTATTCTATTATTGCAATAGCCTCTTTTTTTTTTCTGCCCTTACCCCACTTCATCCTATTCTCAACACAACAGCTAGAGCAATCCCTCTTCTGCTGAAGACCTTCTAATGGCTTCCTAGCTCATTCAGAGTAAAAGTCTAAGTTCTTATGATGACCTACAAAGTCCTACAAGATGTCCTTCCACCTCCTCCACCTTGCCTCTTAGATGTCATCTGCTACTTTCCCTCTTGCCGCTTCTTAAAGCATGCTCCCACCTTGCATCTTAGAGGTCATCTGCTACTTTAAAGCATGCTCCCACCTTGCCTCTTAGATGTCATCTGCTACTTTCCCTCTTGCCGCTTCTCAAAGCATACTCCACACTGGTAATTCTGTCTGCCTGGAAAGCTCTTGTTCCTGATAATGATAGGGTAAGCATCCTTACCTTCTTCAGGTCCTTGCTGAAATGTCTACTCATTAAGACCTTCCTTAATCACCTTATTTAAAATTGCAACAGTCCCCAGTCATACCCTTATTCCCCTTTTCTGCTTCATTTTTCTCCATAACACTTTCCATCGTCTACCAAAATATACACTCATTTATATTGTTTATTTTCCACCTCATCCCTCCCCTTAGAATGTAAGCCCCATGAGGGGGTGAATTTTTCTTGGTTTTGTTCACTGCTCTATCACTAGCACTTAAATAGTTTGATAAATATTTACTGAGTGAACGTTCAAAGCTCATGTTTTATCAGAAAAACAGGCATTGAACAACTAATTATATAATTAATAATTAATTATAATGAATAATTATAATTACAGTGAAAGCTATCAAGAAGGAGATGATGTTAAGATTGTTAACAAAGCATATCATCTTGTTTGAGAAGCGGATCAGGGAAGTCAGGGGGTCAACTGAAATCAGACTGTTAGGTTAGCTAGACAAAGAAAAGGTAGAAGAGGAATGTAAAATAATTAGGTTATTGATAAAATTGGTGATAGGGAAACAATAGTAAATACTATGTATGATTTAAAATTATACAAATTATGGCACCTATACCTTTAGGGAGCTTTAAAATAATAGGAACTCTGTTGTCCTGGATGAATTTGGATATTTGTCTACCTAAAACAGGGTATAGGATCATGTGATCTTTCAAAGCAATTTTCTAATTAAATGTGATCAAATTAAGAAAGATTTCAAGAGAGTTGTTACTAACAGGAAAATAGTAGAGTTGCTAAACTCTCATTGAGGACTAAGAACTTTTGCAATTCTTAAGTGTTCCAGTTAGGTCTCAGGGCCATGTAACCATCTTTAGAAGAGGCTTGTGGCATGGAAATCTGTATTTTTAATATTTGAAAAATCTCCTTCTCAAAATACAACTAAACCATTAATAGATCTTTGATATTTTTGTATTATGCTAAGCAAAGTCTGTTTATCAGACCAATAATGTTTTGTGAAGTGTTCTTAGTTGGAAAGTCAAGAAAAAGCTTTCTAAAATGATCATTATTACTTAGCAGTTTATATTGAGTATCAAACCAGAAATGGAAACAAATGGTCTAAAAGTAGAACAGAATATTTGAAAGCAGGATTTTCCTGGCAATTTTGGGACATTTGGTCACTGTAATTTAGGCCAGCATAAAGAATACTATAGGAGTCCCTAGTCTCAAATACTTGTATCATTTCATCCCAAGTGAAATTTAAAGTTCCAGAAATATTTATATTATGTTCAGTGTAAATCAATTTTTTCTCTTTATCTTTTATTTTCCACACTTACTATATTAAGTACATAATTCCTGTATATGTTAAGGTAAATTAGGTTAGGCTACAGGAATAACCAACTAAAATATTAATGGCTTAAAACAATAAGGGTTTATTTCTATCATGCTAAATGTTCATCAAGATCTAAGAGAGAGACTCTGCTCATTATAATCACTTAGGCTCCCTGCACTTATAGAAGCTCTATCTGTACCTGTGTTTTCTCAGTCACTAAACCAGAAAAAAAGCAATGTGATAAATCACACATTGATACTCATAACTTCCATTCAAAAGTGACATATGTACACCCAAGTAGAATATACCTAATCCAAATATCAAAGAAGGCAAAGAAGTACAATCTTACCACGTGGTCTAGAAGAAAACCTAGAATATCTGTGAATACCCTAAATGACTAACACAGCACATGTGTGTGGAGGGGAGGTGAAGGGTATAAGTATGAAATGTAACTCATACTTTGTGTGGAAATACACTTTCTGTACTGCAAAGATATAATATGTAGTTGGCCCTCTGTATCTTCAGGGTCTGCACTCTTGAACTTAACTAACTGCAAATCAAAAATATTTGAAAAGTCAGGGTACAGTAGCTCACACCTATAATCCCAGCACTTTGGGAGGTCAAGGTGGAGGATGGTTTGGGACCAGGAGTTCAAGACCAGCCCAGGCAACATAGCAAGACCCTGTCTCTACAATAATTTTTTTAAAAAATTAGCCAGGTTTTGTGGTACACACCTGTAGTCCCAGCTACTCAGAAGCTAGGAGCTTAAGCAGGAGCTTAAGTCTAGGAGTTCAAGGCTGCAGTGAGCTATGACTATGCCACTGCATTCCAGCCTGCATGACAGAGCGAGACTCTGCCTCTAAAAACAAAAATCAAACATATTCCAGGGGGGACAATAAAAAATAACAACGTTACAATAAAACCATATGCATAAAAATTATACAGTATAACAACTATTTATATAGCATATACATTGTGTAGATATTATAATAATCTAGAAATGATTTAAAGTACAGATGCTTCTCAACTTTCAATGGAAGGTTATGTCCCCCCATTGAAAATATCATAAGTGGAAACTATGTTTTTGACTTATGATGTTTTCATCTTGTGATAGATTTATCCAGACTTAACCCCATTGAAAGTTGAGGAGCCTACTCAATGCATGTCACTTTTGCACCATCATAAAGTCAAAAGATTGTAAGAGAAACTATAGAAAGTTGGGGACCCTCTAAATACAGGAGGATATGCGTAGGGTATGTGCAAATACTGCTCCATTTTATATAAGGAACTCAAGTATCCATAGATTTTTGGTATCTGCAGGGAATCCTGGAACCAGTCCCCCAAAGATACTGAGGAATGACTATATATCCAGAAAATACTAATTTATAACCTTAGTATTATTTTCAAAATTGAAATAAAATTAACCCTTTAAATTAATTTATTTATGCCAGGGTATAAATACTGCTGAAATTTCCAACACATTTTACAAAGTTTTATTTCTATTTTTAAGCAAAGGCTTCCTCCAGGAACTGATTTTCCCACACATAAATAACTTTTGCCTAATTCTAGTTTAATGAGCTTCCTTTCATCCTCCTTTTTCTTTCCCTTACTCCTTCCCTCTAGAAATTTCAACATTCATCTGACATCTTAAGAAAAATAGTTACCTATATGGATCCATAAAATAAATTATAATATTTTACATTATAAACTTCTTTAGAGTCAGAGCTGTCTGTTTCTTCAAACTGTTATAATCACATGTGAGATAACTGTGTTGAAAACACTGAACACATTAATATTTTATAATTATTTTTAAACTGTAAATAATATTTCTATTTCTTCTAAAGGTATTTCATGATGTGGCTTATAAAGCTAAAGATCGTAATGACTTGGTATCAGGAATTGATGAGTTTCTGGATCAGGTTACTGTTCTCCCTCCTGGAGAATGGGATCCAAGCATCCGAATAGAGCCTCCCAAAAATGTACCTTCCCAGGTATGTATATTTGAAGACATTCTTTGAAATTGAATATTTTTTGTCTTTTAAATGCATGTTTCAAAGTAGCATAATCCATCAAGAAGATTCAAATGATTTAAATGATAGCCTCGAAGGCAGAAGGGGCATGAAGTTACAAGATATTTCTTAATACTCTCCAACACACATTACTGAGAAACTTGGCAGTTTGATGACAACCTACTAATCAAACAGTGCTATATACCTGGAAAGATTTTAGCTCCTACTTAACATATATTATACAAGAGGAAGATTAAAATTGTAATAACAATATAAAATATAGCCTGATAAAAAGCCCATTACTGTCCTTCTATGTTTTGATACATCACTTTGAAATTGGCAAGCATTAGGAAAATTCAAAGACATGACTTAATCATATTATGTAGAAAACTCCACATTTATTACTGCTAATCACAGTAAATATTGGGAAGATTTTAAAATTGTAATTCTTATATTTGTATTGCTTTTGTGTGGATGTATGATATAAAGACTTTTTAATTTTGCTTATGAACATATAATGGATATTTTACCCATCATACAATCCAGAAAGATAGAAATATAAAGCATTGCTATTTTCTAGGGTCACTTTTTAAATTGCAGTCATGACTATTAAGAATGACGACCAAATGTTTGTTAAGCTCACTCCTCACACTGCCACCTCTATGCCTACTGAATCTGCCTCCCACAACCCTCCCAAGTTGTTACGTACTTAGTCTTGCCTTTGGCCTTTGCCCTGCGGAGTTCAGCCTGGTCTGACTCTGCTGCCCTACTGGAAGCGACAGATGGTCTAATTGACCCAGCTCTGGAATTAGAAATTTTCCTGCTTTGCCAGAGATGGCCAAATGAGCAGTTGTACCACTCAACCATGAGTACTTAAAAAGGGTATCTCAATTTCACTGTCAGTTTAAAGAAACTCTATGGATACCTCATTTTTATATTTTCATTTTGAAGTCATTTCATAATTATTAAAGACTATTTCCTTTTCTCAAAACTTACCATTTTGTGATTCTGTAACTGCTACCACATATTTCAGTTGATCTATTACTAAAATAAAAACAGTTGCCTAATAATTAATTATAGGGGTTACAGATTGTCTCATTCCTGTACTTGTAGAATACATCTTTATACTAATGATATTAGAAAAGGCAATATAATGCTTCCTGAATATGTAGAAACTCCTTAATTAATATTATTTGGAGAAATTCAGCAAAATATTAACACATTCAGAATGAGGCTTTAAAATTCACTATAACACCAATTAGCTATTGAAACATTAAAGATGAAGTTAAGTGTTTTTGAAAACAGCTTTGTGAACAATAATGTTTTTGAGGCAAGTTGAGTGATGGGAGGCCAATATTGTTTATGATTTTATGACACCCTTTAAAATCAGAATTAATTATTGGATTCTGGGTATTGAGAGGCAGTCGTAAAAAGAACATCGAATTAAGAATCAGGGCATTTGGGTTCTGCAATTGTCTATATATGTATGACCTTGAACAAATGTTTTAACCTCTCTGTTGATGCTCTATATCAGAATTGTCCAACAGTCTTCTGCAATAATGGAAATATTCTGTATCTATGCTGTCTAGTAATCAGGCCACTAGTAAGCATTAGAAATGTTGCTACTGTGACTAAAGAACAGAATTTTTCATTTTAATTACCATAAATGTAAATAGACATATGCAGTTTGTGGTTATCATATTAGACAGCATAGTTCTATACAACAAATTTGAATTTCAGATATGCTTTATGCTTCTTTTCAACATTCATGTTTTAAAAATGCATGTTGTAATTGAATAATAGATAGCATGAGGCTATGTTTTCTATTAGATGGAGTGAAATGAGTTCATATGTATTAAACATTCTGACCTCATACTCATTCAAATTTTTTTTTTTTTTTTTTTGAGATGGAGTCTCGCTTTGTCGCCCAGGCTGGAGTGCAGTGGCGCGATCTCGGCTCACTGCAAACTCCACCTCCCGGGTTCCATTCTCCTGCCTCAGCCTCAGAGTAGCTGGGACTACAGGCGCCCACCACCGAGCCCGGCTAAGTTTTTGTATTTTTAGTAGAGAACGGGGTTTCACCGTGTTAGCCAGGATGGTCTTGATCTCCTGACCTCATGATCTGCCCACCTCAGCCTCCCAAAGTGCTGGGATTACAGGCGTGAGCCACCGCGCCTGGCCCAAATATTTTTACCATTGGGATAATTTCCATCTTTTTTATTCATTTGAAATGTGCAAATCCCAGCATTTTAAATACTTTTTTTCCTTTCAGTTAAGAGAAGATTAACCTGTCACCTCCAGGGACAACTGTGAAAATATTCATTAGAACTTTGTGTCAGTCATTAAAATCACTCCCTTTTGTGTACCCTCAACTTATTTGCTCTTCTCTCATATCATGTACTTGCTTATCAAAACCATAACCCTGTGAGAATCCAACACTTCACTCTGTACCACATTGATGAAGCTGAAGCTGAAGGAAAACATGTAACTACATTGACTGGTCTCACATAAATTCATGACCGCATACCTTAAGTGAGCCCTTCGTGTTGCAGGTTCATCATACGACACTTCCCTAGTCCAATCATTCTCACTTGATAACTAATTCACACTTATTTTTCTCTCCTCAAGCCTTCAGCACATCCTTTCTGACCCTCACTCTCATATGCTGATGTGCCTTTTACTTCCCTAAGAAATTTGAAACAATCAAAAAAGAACTCCTATAGATTGCTACCATCATACCTACCCACCGGCCAGCATCTGCATGCACATACTCTGCCTTCCTGTTCATTACTATTGATGAACTAGCCAAAGTCAGCCTTCTACTTGTGCACTAGAAAGAGCCTATCTCTTCACATCTACTCAAGAGCGCAACCCTACCAATTCTCCTCTTTCTCTTCTATATCATCAAATCCTTTTTTCTGTATTTTATCACTTTTATTAGCATACAACATACAATTAAATGTACCAATCTTAAATAAAAGAACTCTCTTGATACCACTACCCAGCCTGCCACTCTTATTCATTCCCTTTTGCAACAAAATGCCACAGAAGAGTTCTCTACACTACTTGCCTCCAGTTACTCTCCTCCAATTCTCTTTTAACGCACTCCAAGAGGCTTTTGCCCCTACCACTTCAGTAAAATATGTACGTGAACAATGATCTCCACAATGCTAAGTCCCATGGTCAATTCTCAACCTGCATTTTATCTAACCTATCAATGAACAGCATTTAAGAGTTGATGACTCCCTTTTCCTTAATATACATTCCTTGCTTGGCTCCCAAAACATCACCTTCTGTTAGTTTTGTCATTGTAAAATAGAGTTAATTTATCTAGTCAGTAGTATTCTCCCAGAAGACCACATAATAATACTTGCTTTCTGAGACTTGTGAAAGCTATGAATTGTTTTCCTAGGTGATTGGGAAGTAGGTAGTGAGGATAACTCTTAAATCCCTTTATTAATGTATCCTATTTACCTGTAAAGACAGTTCCTTCATCAGTTAACAGATGCTTCTCTTTTATCTTTGAACTTTAGTCTTATTGCGTCCATCTATTTACCTGGGGAAATTGTTAAATATTAAGCAATAAACTTTCTTATATTGTGTATTTTTCAAAACCTTTTTTATATGTTAAACCTGTATCATTCTACCTAGATGTCTCCTGGTAAGTGAGATCAGTTTATGAGTCACTTTTGTTTTTCATGTTTATACTAATTCTATTTTGGAATGGTGGTCAAGTAAAAATCGTAATTTCACCACTTAAGATTTTTCCTATTATCCTTTGAAGTGCTTTTGAACACATTGGTGTGCTCTAAGATCACCATAGGTAGGATTTTAGGTAGAAATTTCTGATTTTTAAAAAAATCATATTCACCAACAAAAGTGGATGGAATAGACCTTTGGGAAAACAATACTTACCTGAATCTCCACTAATTTGTCATTGGTTAAATTAGACGCCTCCTTTTACAATCGTCTTTGACACTCTATGAGTTAAAGAGACCCATATTGTAAACTATTTTCTGGGTAGAAAGATACTAGCTGGAATCACACAGGGAAATATACTTTAAAAATAGTGATGATGGTTACTGTTCTTTGAACAATTAAACTATGCCAGGCATATAACACCACCATACTTAACACCTCCTCACGCCAACCTACCCGCATCCTGATCTCTCTCTTTCCCCTTCCCTTACTTCATTTTTCTTCATAGCTCCCATCTGTACCTGATATTTTAAGGTTATTGTCTCTTTTCACTAACAGGATGATTTTTCTTGCCCACCTTTGCAGCTCTAGCATTCATTACAATGAATGGCACACACTAGGCACTCAGTATTAGTTGAAAGAATAAATAAGTGTCTATCACCTCATTTAATTCTCTTAGCCACACTATAAGATAGATACTGATGTTACCCCCAGTAAACAGAGGAAGAAACTAACACTTTAAAAGGCTGAATAACTTCCCAGAGGTCAAGCAACAAATAAGTACAGTGCCTAGGTTCTCAGCTATTGTGCATATTGCTTCAAGGAAAATGAACTGTTATTGTTATTTATAATTAACATCTGAAATTAAAATAAAACAAAACACACGAACAAAGAAACTCTCCACAGGAGAAGAGGAAGATTCCTGCTGTACCAAATGGAACAGCAGCTCATGGGGAAGCAGAGCCCCACGGAGGGCATAGTGGACCTGAACTCCAGAGAACTGGAAGGTTAGTGAAAATCACTTCTATGGGACTTCAATGACCAAATGACATACCATTCTTCTCTGTTAGGAATTGCTATTTTGAGATCTAATTTATTTTATACTTTTAATAGCTGCTTTTTGAGGGTGAAAATGCCAATTAGTTTGATTTCTCTGAAGTTGCTAATGATTGTCATTACTGTTAAACTAAAACAGTGGAGACACCCTTCCATTATACTTTACCTAGTCTTTCATTTTGCTGTGCATAAAATGCATTCCCAGATTCTTAGAATGAAAAGGAAAACCGTCAATTGACCATTCCAAAAGAACCCATTGAAAGCTTCAAGTTCAAGATAGAAATAAAACTAAATACCAACAACTCAGTCTTGTAGGCCCTATCTCATTAAATGCAAGTAGGATGTATATAATGGTATTTTTTATTTTTACGGCTGTGATTTGAAAGAGCTATATGATTTATTTTCTAATCACACATCTTTGAAGAGATGAAAGCTTCAATTTATTTCTTAAAATGGTGCTTTATGGTTTTTTTTGACAGCTTGTCTCTCTCTAAGCAATGTGTGAGCAGAAAATCAGAAACCCTTGGGTGGGTCTCTCTTCAGGGAATATGTGTATAGCCTCCATTGTAATTAAAGGCAGTTGCAAAGACTTTGCAGGATTGGTGCTCCCCTCCCCTCAAGGCCATTTTCTGTACTTCTTGCAATGTGTCCTCTAAGCTGACTTTCCAGTTCCTGAGCACTCTGCATTTTAATTCTGTGTTCTTTCCATTTATCTATGTGTTGTCTCTGAGGAAATGTCCTTTAATGTCTTCCTCAGGCTTGATACCTAATTTGAGATGGTTCAAACAATTTTTTCCTTTTCCCTTCACTGGAACCTTTGTTACTCATTCTGTTTGCTTTCATACTTTTGAATGCTGTCTTTTTATTTTTGGTGGTATTTTTTTCTCTTTCTCAGGTGTAACATGCCACATAGCTTAGATTTTTTTCGAAGTTCACTTTTCCTTACTGCTTCCTAAATCCTCCCAGGTCACCAATATCCGGTATCTTCGCTTCTCCAGAGTTCTTCCACAGATTCTGTTGCTGACATGACTTGAAGTATCCATTACTCATCTGCTCTCCTGGAGTTGCTGGTGTACATCTGGGCTGCTCTTGCACTGTTCTCTGTAATGAACTCCCACTTCCGGATTTAGATTTTTACTGCTAAAAGCACATTTATACACAGTACTATAACAACTATTCAGACTAATGTATGCTCTAATAAGTAATTGATTAGAATCAATGGTCTAATATAAAGTGCTATCAAAACTATAAATATTAATTACTAATTAATAGCTCATAACCACCTCAAATTCTTTTTGGGATTAGGTGGGATATAAATCACAAATGAATGCCTAAATAGACTGGTAGAGTAAATCTGTTTTGAATTGTGACTTTGATAAGTTAACAAATTATTCAGAAATGATCCCCAAAATAAAAAAATATAATGTGTATGTTTTACTAAACATGGGTAGAGAAGCCTAAGGTGATCTTTATGTGTACAAATATTTCACAGGTTCTCTGCAAGCTTCTCTGAGTTTCAAATGTCCTTTTATTCAATTGAAGTTTCATTCTTCTCAACCCTCTCCTACTCCATAGCTCTCTGATGGAACCAATCATAGGAAAATATAGTGATCTTATACCTGCGTAATAGTAGAATAGTTATTATTATGTAACGATTACAGATAAATCAGATCAGAGAAGTTACATGGTAAAATATTTTAATTATTCATAATATGTACATCTTTTATTTCAAATTCTAACCAGAATTTTTTTCTAAAAAGAACAATCCTTTCTGAAGTGATTCTAGGACTGCCAAATGAATATTCCTATATATAAAATAAATAAGAAAAATGTAACAGTTTTGTGTGATCCAAGTATACTCAGCACGCTGGCAGTTTATTGGAGCATAAGTTTTTTTCACCATTAACATTAACCTTCACATAGGAACTTACTCATAGTCTAATTCATTTTGCTATCACATCATTATTCCACGGAACAAAACAACTTACAGTAGACAAATGTTAAGTCTGCATATTGTTATTAGATGTTCATAAAATGAGAATACCTACTTATTAATGGTCTCATTTCTAATAGATTTTTTTAAAAGCTCTCAAATTTAAAGCATCATTTCACAGTTTAATACTTTTCCCCCAAAAAAATTCTCTTTCAAGTGTTTCAATATGGTTTTGGATATATTTGGAGTAAATGAATTTATACCAAGTAAGGTCACTATTGTCTTGTGAATCACAGATGTTGGGATGTGTTAACGCAATAGTGGATCAAAATTACATTTATCTAGTTTGATTATTATTAAGGACTCCCTCCTAGTTTTCTAAAAATGAAAACAGCTCCGGAACCTATCTGTCTCTACTAAGTATTGCTGCCATCCAAAAGGACATTTAGATGTCTTCCTGCAACAATATCTAGTGAGGGATTTTTGTTTGTTTGTTTTTTTGGCTGAGAGAGTAGGTAACTGGAGCTATGGTTAAACATTGCTTTTTCTCTCTAGGGTGATGCTCACTACTGGAGTATAGAAAAGCCAGCTAACCCTCCCTCCCTCCCTCCCTGCTATGCTAAATGGAATTAAACATTTAGAAATACTGCCAATGATTGAGGGTGGTAGGCCTGAGTTTAGGAGGAGTAGGTTGACGTAGAAATGGCACAGAGATTAGAGTAATCCTTGAATCTCATTATTTGGATTATGATTGGTGAACAGCTCTGAACCTTGTTTAAGAGAACCTGGGATTTTTGGTGGTTGACACGATATTGGGTTAGGAATTGAGTAACATAGTTGTGCAGTGCCTCCCTGTAGATCATTATAATACAATGCAGCAGGTTATGTGGGTCTCACCTCTGCTGATGGAAAACGTATACTGTGACCTGGCAACAAAGCAAATGAGCATTTTGACTTGTGTGTTTTTTTATATTTGGGTTTCACTATTGTGTTTTCCCCCCCTTGTCTTAGGATTTTTGGGGGACTTATTTTAGATATCAAAAGAAAAGCTCCATACTTCTGGAGTGACTTCAGAGATGCTTTCAGCTTGCAGTGCTTAGCATCTTTTCTGTTTCTCTACTGCGCGTGTATGTCTCCTGTCATCACATTTGGAGGACTGCTGGGAGAAGCAACTGAAGGGCGTATAGTATGTATCATGCTTTTCTCTGAACTTTGAAACATAATCCATTTTTAAGATTCAGTTAGATAAGTAAGCATTTAATTTTGGAGAGATTTGAGATATGGTCTGCTAGATAAACCTTATATGAATTTCCTGGATGGCTAGTGGAACTTGTAATCTGGGGGTGGAATGTCTCAGAATGACTAGTTCTGAGTCTTACAAAAGGTTCTCATCTGATGCCTTGCCCTCAGCCCCCCAATCCTAAGCTAGGTTTAGGCTCAGTTCTTGTCTCACAAGAAGTCCATTTGCTATATATCTGGGCCATGTTTCTGTCCAGATGCTAATCCTGAATACATTTAAACCTTTTGTAAGGCAACAGAGATGTGAGATAAGAAAGTGAAAAGAACACCTCCACTTTTGCTACTATGCATTTTCTTCTTACTGTCAGCCCCTTTAGTCATCATCCTACCCCACATGTTGCCCAGGATTGCTAGGCTTTTCATGGTGAAGGAGAAAGCACATATCCGTGTATTTTAAATGTCTTCTCCTTAGCTACAATGGCTTCCTGTACAGCTTAGGTAATTGAACCATTTATATCTCTACACAGAGTGCAATTGAATCTCTCTTTGGAGCATCCATGACTGGGATAGCCTATTCTCTCTTTGGTGGACAGCCTCTTACCATATTAGGCAGTACAGGACCAGTTTTGGTGTTTGAAAAGATTTTGTTTAAATTTTGCAAGTAAGTGTTATGTACTTTTCAGCCCTTAGCCTCTTCCTTTTCTCTTTACTATATTTATACTTCTCCCAACATCACTTTTGGAGGTCTGTTAATAGAGACAGAATTGCCTGGTTTGATTCAGTTTATCATTTTTGCTTCATCATGGGAACAGAGGAAAAGCAAAAGATTTATGTATATTGTTATGTAATATTTTTAAAAAGTAAGACTCAGTTATAAGTACTGAGAAATCCCTTTTAATTTTGTCCCTTTAGATGTTCCCTTTAGACCAGTGGTCCCTAACCATTTTGGTGCCAGGGACTGGTTTCATGGAAGACAATTTTTCCATAAATTGGGTGGGGGAGATGGTTTTGGAATGAAGCTATTCTACCTCAGATCATCAGGCATTAGATTCTCATAAGGAGTACACAACCTAGATCCCTCACATGCACAGTTCACAACAGGGCTTGTGCTCCTATGAGAATCTAATGTCGCCACTGATCTGACAGGAGGCGGAGCTCAGGCTGTAATGCTCACTCGCCTGCCACTCACCTCCTGCTGTGCAACCCCGTTCCTAACAGGCCACAGACAGGGGGTTGAGGACCCCTGCTTTAAACAAGACTTTAGACAAAGTCTTGAATTTAGATACTCATAGGATGTGAAGCTTATTTACTTTCACTTCCTGAATGAGGTTTATTTTCATTTGCTTAAAATGATAGCAAGCTGTTGAATGACCTTCTTTTCACTGTTCTTTCCTTTTCGTCCTCCCAGAGAATATGGGCTGTCATACCTATCTTTAAGAGCTAGCATTGGACTTTGGACAGCAACTCTGTGTATCATACTTGTGGCCACTGATGCTAGTTCCCTTGTCTGCTACATCACTCGGTTTACTGAAGAAGCTTTTGCTTCCCTGATTTGCATCATTTTCATTTATGAGGCCCTGGAGAAGTTGTTTGAACTCAGTGAAGCTTATCCAATCAACATGCATAATGATCTGGAACTGCTGACACAATACTCGTAAGTACCATTTCCCCTGCTGGCTTTGAGGCTTTTCTTTTTACAAATATTGCTATTGTTACAAGAAATATGAGGAAATTACTCAGCAGAGAATGTGCCTTAAGTTGATTCATGACCTAAATCCTGACTCTCAGAGTTGAACAGGATTTTAAAAGTTATTTAATCAGCCACTCATCTGATACTTGCATTATCAGTATACCATCTCTGCCAAGAGTATCTTTTTAAAGTTCTGTTTGTCTAGTGTTCTCTAAAATAAGTAGATAAGGAACCAAGTCCATTTTAATATACACGAATTTTACTTTAGCAAAATATATGCTATTTGGTGTTATTTCAGGGTCTTTTTAATTTACAATAATTCAAAGAAACATAGTAATGAAAATATAAGGTTTCAAATTTAGAGCAATAAGGTAAAATAAACTTATTGGGTCTAAATCTTACTAGATGTTTGAAAGTGTGGTAAGAACATAAGTCACTGAATGAAAAATTTAATTTTGGTTTTGGCATGTGTGACATTTTTGATGGAAATACTCAGGTATTACTTGTTGAAAGTGATGTTACAGTCCAGGATTAAAGATGTGATTGGATCTGTTGCTCCTTCTAGTTTTGGTATATCAACAGTCTGGAATGTCTCTCAGGCTTTGTCTGCAGACTATATGTGGCCATTAAATGGCCCCATTATTTAATCGTATAATTTTTTGTTGTGTTTATATACAGTTTTTTATACTGCAAATATCTGAAGCAATATGTTCTTTAGGAGACAGTTATCATCTCTGCATCAACCACCAATGATTTCCGTATAAACTGCATAGATATGGCCTTGAACCCTTTTAATATTTTTTAATCTTTATTTACTACAAGAAGTTTAAATTGTTGAAGTCAGACCAAAATCGTGCAATGTTATAATTTTGTTAAGAATGATGTAATGATATAATGTTGAAAATAATGTGAGTTTTAGTACTTTCACTTTTATTTTATATTTAGAGATAACTTTAAACAACTGACCCCCATTTTTGAATAAGAAAAATCAAAGTGGAAATATAAAATAACTTTCCCAATAAAAGCAAATAGTGAGAATGTTGTAAACAGGGCTAAGAAGGTACTGAGCATAGTTGTCAAGGAAATGGGAAGGATAGTTTGATCAAAACCAGGGATAACATTGATACATGCCTTTTCATTTATCCTTATCTGAAAGAGAATCTCACTGAATTTGGATATCCTTGCTGAGATATGTAATTATCTCCGGTTGGATTTTCAGATCTACTACATGCCAAGCACTATACTAGGTGCTAGGAAAACCATGGTGATTAATATTCTGTCCTCAGTGAACTTCCAGTTGAGTAGGGAATGTAGACAAATAGACAGCATGAGGAAATGAGTGTCAGATTAAAATGTTGGTACAAAATGCTATAGCACCACATCAGGAGAGCACCTAACCCAGATTTGAGGTTCAGAGAAGCCTTCCTGGAGGAAATAACGTAGAATAAAAAATGCAGTAGAAGTTAGGAAGGTGCTAAGGAATAGGGCAGAAAAGTAGTTCAGACAAAGGGCATTCACAGACCTAGATGCAAGAGATGCATTCATGCTTTAAAATATTTGTGTAAAGTTATATAGATAGTGGTAAAACAAGAAATGAAATCCAGGTTTTATTACTGATATAATTTTCAGTACACTGATGAATACAAATAAACTCTCCAAAAGAAACCAAGTAAAACAAATAAAACAGGTAAAATCAGAACTATTCTGTTTCAAGTGGTAGGAAGGCACCCATTGCCTACCCTGTCAGCTGTTCTTTGAACCTTAGTGATAGCTTCTCAGGTACTTCAGACTGAGGAACATACTTTAAAATCCCTTGGTCTAGAAAGGAAAAAGATTGCAAAAGCAAGGTCTGAGCCCTGAACAATTTTCACAGCTTAAAAGTAGAATGAGAAAAATGCAACCAATAGGCAAAAAATAAATAAATAAATAAACAAATAAATAAATAAAAATAAGAAAGAAGCATCAGAGGAAACTATGGATAATGTCAGGTCACAGAAGGCAAGGAAGAAGAAATGTATCACAAAGTCTTTAGAGAGGACAGCGGGTTGGATATCAAACAGAACAAGGAAAAGCATTTGAAAAGAGATACTTGGTAACTTTAAAAACTGGTATTGGGGTGGGAGAGGAGGCAGAATGGGAGGTCAGTTTGCAAAAACTAACAAGGAAGTGGGTGGTAAGGAAATGGAGAAAGCTGCATAGGCCAGTTGGTGTCAAAGAAAGTGGGAAACAGAATGCCTTTTGAAGAGGGCAATGAAATAATAAGATTGATAATTTGTGACAGAGAAGAACTATGCATGTTTAAAAATGGGAGAATAGAAACTGAAGAAAGGGAGAGAGCAAAAATGGAGAAAGAGTAGATAAACACGGGATTGCAACCTCCCAGTAGTCAAAAAAAATGATGAGATCAAGGGGTTAAGTAAGACAAATGCTCAGAGGGTAATTTGAAAGCTAAGATAGCTTTATGTGGCCATGATCCCCGCCTGTCATGGTGATCAAAAGAGGAGTGACAGAGGTCCTGACTTTCTCCACATTTCCATCTCTGCTTTTTAAAAAGTGATCCTGCATGTTTAGGTTTTACTTCGATCAGTGTGGGCATCTAAAACCTAATTCTTCCAAGGCTGAACATGAATGTGTGCTGATGACTGTGTTCCATTGCCCAAGTGCCCTTCTCAACCCAATTTAGGGAGATAGAAGGGATGGAAAGACTGGTTCATCCTGATGGGCATGAGGTTTTAGTGCCTCATGGCACTGGCACCTGAAATGGGTGTGTGTGACGGAAGCAATGACAGTCTCATGGGAAACGGGATCTGACGAGATATCCTCATTGCACTGGTTCTTCACTCCAGTTGTTAAGCCTTGATTGTCTGGCTTCCAGTACCACTTACACTGTGTACATGAATCTGATCAGGTATTTCCATCACTTGCTCCTTGGAGTAGCAAAATTGATCTTTTTTTGCTATGCATAGAATGCATATATTTATTAGTGTACTTTTAGTTATGTTCATTAAAGAAAATAATACATTATTGTTAATTACTGCTATTTTAATGTATTTTGTAATCTCATACTTTTGCACAAAACATTTACTTTGTCTCATGAAGTCCAGATGAAACTTTTAGTGGCTTTCTTGTTACTGTGACCTTTTCACATTTAATCAGTGTCATTTATAACAATGTCCACCTAAAGTTTTCTACTTTAGATGTGGCTGGCCTCATATTTGTTATAAGATACTATGCAGGTTCATTAGAAAAATTCCTAGAAAATGTTATAGCTAGAACATAATATATCTGAGATTGCAACCTTTGCAAGCAATATGCCTATAATGTACATATTTGTTTGGGTATAAGATATTTGAAAAAAGTCATCATGTTTAGGATCTGTATTTCAGTTTTTTTTTTAATACTTAGCCTCCTACAATCAGATTTTCTTAAATTCATAGTTTATCAACCAAATAACAAGATGTCTTTGACTTTTTGAAGACATATCCTGCTCCTCTGTCATCCTAACCTTATAATATGGTAATATACAGACCTTATATTTGAAAATATAAGCTTTTCTTTCATTGTGCCAAGATCAAGTGTCAAGATCATCTATTTATCTTTGAGAATACATACATTGCACCAGACAATTAAGCTGAATATGCCAAGTTAGCAATAAAAAACAAGTTTATGAGAATAATCTTTCCTTGGTTGCTTTGATTTTAAGAAATGGCAAAAATAGAATGAAGTGTTGTGCTTTCATAAGATGAAGTGTTTCTTTCAGGTTTGGGAATAATAAACTTTTGAAAGACAACTAGCTAAAGAAAAATTGAGAATGTATTTATTAATGTTTTGTAATCAATTGGGTCAAAGCAGTATGTAGGGTCTGATTATCTCTCTCGTTTCTGATATATATGTAGACTAGAGTGAAATAAAATATAATGATTAACAAGCTGTTGAAGGAGTGTTCTCACTAGCAGGTTATGATAATTTTTTTTTGTTTTCTTTTCCTCTTTTTTGTTTCTCCAACACCCAGCCCTTTACATAACCCAAGATAGCGACCTGTTTTAAATAAATGTTATTTACTGACTGACATACAGAAGAATATCCTCTTTCTTATCTTCTCAACTAGATTTGAACCTCCTTTAAAGTAGAAAACATGTAACAATGAGAATTTCATTCTCACTGTCCCTAATTTTATCTCCCACAGTCCCAGCATAATATTGTAAATACGGTTAAGTGATACTTAATGTATACTGATTAATGGAACATGTTGCAAAATAATTGACATTATTTTGCCAATCTTGTTCTCTAAGTAAAGAAAATAGTGCTTATTTCCATTATCTTTAACAGCACTCTTAAAGATTTTAGCTAGAAGTTTGGGATAAATTTGACACATTATGAAATTCTTAATATGCAATAAAGGTATATAAATTTGAACTGATAAAACTAATGATGACTGAAAATTTAGACAGGGTGCCAACATTGTGGAGAAATCATCTGAAAAAAAAGGCAAGAGAAACAGGAGTGCAATTTACAGCAGAACTCCCAGGGGTGATAGATGTGGGGAGAAAGAAGATGAAACAGAGTAATCATACTGCATGAACCTTTTTAGTACTCACTAGTCAAAAAATAGAGAATAAAACAGATTTAGAGAAATATCTGTTTCAACCTTTTTAAATTACATTTTTTGCTGTGTATACACTTGACTGGATTTATCCAGAATTGCTTGCAACATAACATGATAATTATATTTTTAGGTGTTTATTTGTGTACCTCCACTAGATTTATCTTTATAATGATGGATCATGGCTATTAGGCAGATCTATGTACCTACTATATCTAGCAGAGTGCTTGGCACATATTATATGAACATGTTTATTCATATTTTTACATTTCTGAAAATGCTTCTCACAACTGATGGGCACATTTCATATATTGTTTCCCCCAAAAAAGCTAGATTGTTTGACATCTTAGATTCAAATAAATATA